TCAGCCTAGTAAATGAAATGTAAGAGACCACATGGAATTCAAGAAACGAGAAACGGCTTGGTAACCATTGATATATTAAAAGGGGGCTACAAATAGTTAAACTGGGCCTGGATGTTGTCCATGTGAAATTTATGTATATAAAACGCCTCCAACCATTTATCACCTCGAAGAAGTTTCTTTAAAATAAAACACGGAAATTTAAGTTCTCTTTGCAATAAAATTAAATGCTGACACATGGTGCTATTAAGCGTTATGAATAATGTAAACCCAGATCAGCCGTTGGTTGAAGTCGATGCAACACCAACTGACTCATCAATATACCTAATATATTTTGTACAAGAAGTGTTTTAGTTTTACTAACAGACTTGCTTTAGAATGGATTGTTAGTTATCAAATATTATCGTTTTATATACCAACTCTATAGGTATATATAATTATGTATAAAATTACACATATCCCAATTACTTACGTATACACAAATCTGAAGACTTGTCTATATGTCTGGACATGTAAGTTTACTAAAATTTCTCAATTGAAATTGATTTTCTTGAAAAGTTTTTTTTTATTCGTTTTTATAAAATCGAAGTTAGTCTCATCTCATGATAAAGGGCTACTGCAGCCCATAGACACCTGCAACCAACTTTAAATAAAGAAGCTGGCTCTTCTTTATCCCCTGCCTTCAGATCGGAACACAGTAGTGCACGCACGATGGTTGGCGGCAGAAGTAGGCAAGAGGATGGTACCTACCCAGACGGAGTCCTAGGCAGAAAAGGACAAATGATAGTGATAGAATATAAAGTGAACTATCACCTAGTTAACAACGAGTATATAGTCATTTATATAGATCTTAATTTCTAGCAGTTGTGTTTAGCTACATATTGTTTCAACAAAGCTATTTAATACAACAAAGAACAAAGCCATTTAAAAGGAGATTATGATAGTGTGTGAGAAATAAATGTACAGGGCTTGTCTATTTTAATTACAGTGTAATGTAGATCTGTGGCTATTTACTTACATGAAGATTAATATTAGTCATTTTTTAAATTTAATTAATTGTAAAATAAAAAATTTTGTACAATCGATTTCAATATCAATTATTAAGGATAACTCATAAACCACTGGTCAGAACTTGATCAAATTTGTATGGGACCACATGAAAAGCACCAGCTTTCTAATAAAAAAAGAATCTTCGAAATCGGTTTTCGAAGAAAATAGTTATGAGGCAACACATATAAAAAATGCATAAAGCTTAGTACGCCGATTTTAATATACTTAATAGTACTTATCTTATAAATATGTACCTACATACTACATAACAATGAAAACTCCAATAACCTGAACACTAGCAGAGTATTTGCTATCATAATGAACTTGTCTCATTAAAATCTCTACAAAATCTGTAAATTACACAACTCGTCTTAGTAATAATTATCAGAAAACACGTTTTATCGACCACTAAGCACTTGACCATCGAGTTCAACAACAAAAAATGTTAGTATCTACGTAATAACCATGACTCATAATAATAGCTATAAAATATTACGGATAGAATAGAAGTTTAAACGGTTTTGTAACGATTGTTTGTGATTGAATATTTAACGTAAGAAGGATTTTTCCACTTTTAATATCGCATGGATGGTATCATTAGATAGATCTCCTAAAATAATTATGTAGTTTTTATACATGGTAGAGCCACGCTGCAGCTATATTATGGTTGTAGCAGTAGTAGCACGAACGGGTAGGACCACGCTATTACAGAATACCAGCGTAAAATAGCAGAGTGTAGAGATTCGGTGACCCTTTTTACTGGAAACGAGGCATTCCATCTTAGTTTTCAGGGGTGACAACACATCTGCATTTTGATTCCACTCAGATTTGAGACCATCAGGTGGACTGGGTGCTCGTTTGTCACCCTTATTCTATAAAAAAAGTCGATGGATACAGGTAGCGAATGTTTTGTGGCATACGTTGAGGGAGGCCTACGTTCAGCAGTGGACTTGTGAAGAGCTGTAAAAGCCATCTTTTACCGCTACCTTCTAAAGTTAGTTAACATTCAGTGATGAAAAATTACTTTAGAAATAAAAGAAAAAAAGCAACATTTTGAATAATAGTACAAAATTTTGCGATACATGCGATTTAACTTGCTAATTTTTTCATTTTTTTTTTTCGTAAGATAGCACTTGAGACTACTCATATCGCATACGACAAGCTTAAAACAGTTTGACTGGTCTTGCCGAATGCTTCTTTATAAATCGATATCTAATGCGTTGTGACCTAGGGCTTACACTGAGATCAAATTATGTTTCAAAATGAAATATTTAAAATATGTATATAAAAATATACATATTTTTATAATTATAATAATTTTTTTTAAATTAAATTAAATTTATAAGCAAGCTTAAAATTTAAAGCCACATTGAAAGTAATTTAAATAGTAAATACGTAGAGATTTATCCTCATTAAACATTTCCGAGTACCTACCTATATTTTTATTTGAAACTTCGTCAGGCATTTTGTCTTATGTTTACATATTTGTTAATTAAATACAGAGTACATACAGAAATTTGTATTCAGTGCACGTCTCCGTTAATTATTCTCGCTATCAGTTGTTACTGCACACTGCACAACATATTCCACTAGTAATTGAAACAGGAAAACATGCAGGTATTATTGCATCGTAAACAATCAGCGCATCGTTTGTTGTTCGACCTCCTTGATATTTATTTGTTTAAATGAAACTGCAAACGCCTGAAACTACGATAGTAATAATTTTAAAATTAAGCGTAGATACCTAATTCATTTAAGATGAGATTTAAATAATATGAAGGCCATTCGTGTAAATTATGCGAAAAACCATTGTAATTCTATGTATTGTAGTTTAGTGATACATCAATGCGAAAAACTAGCAATGCAAGAAAGTTTGTATTGTTTTTTCTATTTTAAATAATATGTATATTTATTTTATTAATTACGATGAACAAAAAACTAAATTATGTTTTACAAATTCAGTTAAACTTGATTACGTGTGGTCTGTTAATTTGTACTAACTGAAGGGCAACATTTGTACAAACTTAGGTATTAATACTTTATAATAGATGGGTAACAAAAGACATAAACGTAAGCAATGTTTAATGTTTACTTATTGCAGTATTTATTGAAGTGAAGGATCCGTTGAAAAAATTTGCATACGCTTTTTCCTTATTCCTTTGTTCTTACACTAATTAATAATGGACAAGGTTTCAGGTAGAAGGTTTTGTAAAAGAATGAGCCATCGTTTAACAATGTCCGATGTTTGGTATATATGTACTTATAAACTTTTGTAAATGAAAACTGTGTGTGTTCTTCCTTTTTTAACGCGTCTCGAAGTTATATTATATGCCGTGAGATCAAAGGGCTTGCAAGTATGAACGTTTTAAAATTCCCTTTAGTTTGGGCCGTTGCACTCGGGCTTGGGACTCGTCTAACCGGCCCACTATCAGTCCGCGGTCCGATTCATCGCGCGCCAGCTTGTGGCCAGTGCTGGGTTACCACCAACTGTAGCTAAGCGCAGGCTAGCTACGTTTTAGTGTACGTTTTGCTGAGACCTAATTTCCCAAAAATCGATCAATTTTAAGAATTGGTTTCTTTACCCGGAATGGTTTAAAGTCACCACCTCATTTGTGTCCTTTGTTGAGATACTATGGGGTGCCCCCTGCACATTATACCTTCTTTTTCTTGGATAGATAGATAATCTTACTTTTGGTTAACATTCAAACTCATTACCATGGAATCAGGATGGACACTTCTATTTATAAAATTATCGATGAAAATCCTACAAAACAGGTGTTTTTTATATAAAAGCGGTGCCCAAGGATGATTGGTTTTTGGTTTATTTTTTAAGAAATGAAGCCTAATATATTTGATGATTTGTTTGTCTTGAAACTTATTAATCACGTTATTATTCTCATAAAAGTCTAAGTGTGTCAATCTGTGTCAATCAATTAATTACACATTTTGTGTAATTAATTGATTGACACATTGATACTACCTCGAACTTGTTTTAAAAGGTTAATGTTGTCAAAGATGATTTAGGCAAAATATCGAGAATGTTGAAATAAAAATATTTAATACAAATTTTAAAAATACGTTTTTCCGAAGGCACAGAAGACTTTCCTGAGCTGGGATTTTATATTTTTGTCGGCTGGGATAGTATATTTTTTACCTCAAATCTTTCTCTTCAAATGTCTGCACCATTAATAGAAACTATTCTGAAGTTATCTCGCCAAATAAATATTTTTTCGAAAAGTACATAATACGTGTACATATAGAAAAACTGAAAATCATACCGATTTGCCGCGCACACAAACACTCGATCGTAATATACTCTACCTATATATATACGGCTAGGGCAACTTTTCCAAGACCTGATTTGACTTCTTTTCTTTTTATTAAAACTCCTTTATCCTGGCATATTGTATGTAAATAAATTATTCACAAAATTGATGATAATAATTAATTTAAAAAAATCAATTAAGAAAGTACTGGCAGTAAAAACCTGTTTTATTATTGACATATTGACAGACAATATGTTACATACATAAATCAACAAATTTGCAGGTTTTTGCTTAAAGGCTCATACTACAGATAACAGTTAAAGTATAATTTTTTTTAGTATGCATCTATTACGAGCAATGTTTATTTTATAACTTTGTTGTTTATACTAAATAATAAAAAAATATTACAGAATCGATTTTTATCATTTAAATTTTTTTTTTTATATAAAGATAATAATGTAAATAATTACGTTTAAAAAAATTAAATTTATACACAGTCTCTCATAAGGCAGCATCTCGTAATACGAGACTCGTATTACTTAAAACCTCATTGGAAATCCCATTCCCAATTTAGCACGTTACCAGACGTAACGATTCCGCGAAACAGCTGTTTTTATTTTAAAACCGCGATGTGGTAATACTACAAAAATAAATCCACAAACATCTTGGGGTCGTAAAGATACTCACATTGGATGATGAGCTAGTGATTATATGTCTTCACTCCGCACTGTCAATCACAGGTTCAAAAACACGCTGCGCGAGCGTATCCAAATAGGCGATCGCGCTCGCGGGATATATTTAGAGCGGTAATACGACACCGTGCGCGGGCGTCGGTCGTTCGATCGTGGTGTTATTGTGAGGCGCGACGCGCGAGTGAGGTCTGGCGGCTGGCAGAGCTCCGCGACCTCCCCCGCCCCTCCCTGGCACCGCTCACCCCCGCTTACTCCATCACCCTCTCCTCCCCGAGTCTCGTTGCAGGCGGTAGGGCTCGTAGTCGCAGCCTCCCGAGGACGATACCCTCCGACATCCCTTTGTGTGGTTCTGTTTCTGTACGGATCACGAATTAACAAAACCTTGGTCTTAAACAGGCCAGCGCTCGCGCAAATTCGTCCCGACCCTAACGCTTACGATTCAGTGGTGAAACCTTCATTTCTTTACCCAAAAGGTTGTTTTGCCACAAAATGATGATACCACAAATATTATTTTTAGACTCGTTATAATTACAATAAGAAATATTTACTATTCCTTTTTCTATTCTGCCTCTATCTGCACGATAATATTTGCCATAAATCCATCCATCAATAAGTATTTTTGAAATCTATATTGAAAATGATTATCTTATATTATATTCTAAAGGCTTGGCCAGGGGAAAACGAGCATGCATGAGAAATAAAATAAAAACTGTACTACACGAGTATGCCAAGTAACTTTAAAAGTTGGCGCATTAAATAAGGATTTCAAAATGCTATATAACATTTGCAAGATTATGACATATGTTAAATGACAGATTTTTTTTTAAATATACCCAGTTGTAAATTAATTTTCTTTACCATACATATGCTATAAATTTCCTTAAAATACATAGCAAAAATTGTTTTTAAATATTTATCTGTTAAGTATTATGACGACCTATCACCCGATTTCGGTTTCACGTCGACTTCTGGGACACCTGTATAAGCTGTAAATGAAACTTTTTTATGTTACTTCTTTTAATAAGATTATAATTAGTAAATTTAAAACGTTATTCCAATACTGACCAAAGAAAGAAGTAAAAATAATAAGATTTACCTTATCCTTATTCCAATTTATAACTTTCAATAAGAATGAAATTTATGTATAATTATGATGGTTCAGTTTGTCAATCATCACACACATATTTTTTGTCTTTCAGCAGACTACAGAAACAAGTCCAATCAAGGTCACTGAAACAGCAGATGAACAAAGGAAGTCAAAGAATATCAAAAATAATGTGGTGTTTGATCATCAATGTTTATTTTCTGAACCTCCCACATGAATACATAAAATGAAGATCGTTGAGATTAGAAGCTTCATCTTGATAATCTTTAATTTACATTGAATGAACCCTCGTGGAGTGAACAAGTTCACATCTTATCGACGTTTCTGATATTCCCTAGTCGATTGTATTGATCAAACTTCTTAACACCACACACAATTCTATTATCACTTGCGAATGTATTAACAAACTTATTAAACCAGATCTTAATTATTTAGAACATTAAAACATTAACATTTTTATAACAAATTCATTGAAAACAAACATGTTCTATACTTATACTTAACAGTTCAGATAAAAAGTCAAACTTATTAGCAATAGTTTAAAAACAAGAAATAAACAAATTATCTTGGCAAGGTAAAGCAATGAAACAAAATGTTGGAATATAAAAGATACTATATTCATTCGCTCTCAACCCATACAACAACAAACTCGTGTACAGCACATTATAAACTCTATAAAAATAACTTAATCTCCTATCACTCGTCTTCCACCTCGTCGTCTGTCGTGAACTCGCTCTCGTTGTCGCCCTGCCGAAGGAACAATCTATTAGATTATGTGTTTATGTGAAGTATCATACTATTACTATACTATAAACTGATGTCGACATGTTTTCCTTTCCGTTCCTATATAAAAATAGTGTATACTATAAATATTAAGGTTATTGTTCAAGAGAAATGGTTATATAACACATCTTACGACTACTGCGTTAGGAATGACCTCAATCGTTTCTCGTAAACGAAGGCCCAAAAAATGAAAAGCATGCAGGCAATCTTAAGAGGATTGTGAAGCTGTAAATTTTCTAACAAAAAGCGATAACGTTTTCGCTCGCGTAAACATTGTCTAATTTTCATTATTTTTGGAAATGCTGTAGATATAATGAAAAACTAGGTCCGTAAGTTTTTACACACTAAATATTGCGTACGATATAAGTTATTACCGTCTAAACATCGATATTTTTGAAACTGAAGTACTAAAAAAGAAAATCGTACAAATGTAGATTAAGGTGTACTGAATCTAATGTGACTATAATTGTCTCATTTTGTATAGGTTTAGGGGTGTGAAAACGTTAGCGCCGTTAAGATTTCAGAAAGGAAATGTAGGCAATTGCTTGCAAGATTTGCAACTCTCTCTATCGCACGATACGGCGATACGGAGCGAGCGGTGTGAAACGGATAGCATTTTTGAAAATATCTACTCGCGCCGCGTATCGGCACTTTAGAATCCCCTTAAGAAAAAAGAACTTAAGCTCTTGGTGATAGAACTCCTTTTCCCTAAGAAATCCATTTGCATTTATATGTGGCTGCAGAAATATATATTTGCATGTATATTTCTGCAGCCATGTAAGTAGCCATGTAAGTACATACACAGCAATTTTCCGGTCTGAAGGGCGGAGAGCCAGTATGATTTTGTTTAATAGAAATAGGGTGACAAATGAGCACACAGTCCACCTAATTGTAAGTGGTTGCTGTGGCCCATAGACATCTACATCTCGAATCAAAATGCAGATGCGTTGTCACCCGTGAGGACTAAGATGGAATACCTCTTTTCCAGTAAAAAGGATCTCCGGTTCTCTACACTCACCATACGAAACAGCAGCATTAAGCTGCTATTTTACGCTGGTATTCTGTGAGAGCGTGGTCCTACCCCGGTCGAGCTGACCCATTCGTGCTACAACTGTACTATAAATATAGCTGCAGCTTGGCTCTACCACGTAAGAATAAGCAGGTGAAACTTAAAATGAAATGCTTTTTATACAAGTTCAAAGGATAGTATTATAAGTAGATGCTGTCGTCCTACACCTACATCATTATACGTTGACACCCCTGACCGCTAAAGTCTCCGGTTCTCAGCACTCACTATACGAAACACAGCAGCGTTTTTCAACAATTTTACGCTGATATTTTGTCAGATGAAGATATAAAAGCCGAAAGACCAACAGCACTAACATTTCAGAACATAGAGAGTGAATTCTGTGAGTCTGTGGTTGTGCTCCAGTCGGACCGATACATTCGTACTGCAACCTCAATATATCTGAAACGAGTCTCGACAAAAAACCTCAATAGGCCTAAAGACGTATTAAAAAGAGGTACTTTTAAAAACATATATAATAGGCCAGTGATTTTTAGTAGCAGTGGACCGGCGATACATCTCTCAGAATTGACAAATGATGGTAAAGAAAGGCTGCATTACGTGAAGACTGTGATGATGATGATGAAATGTTCGTTCAATATTTGGCATCACATAAATTATTGATTTTGTGCGGCCATGCATGCATTCGCTTGTTCCTTCGATCTTATCGCATAAGCGTTATATCGAATTATCGAGCACGGCAACCGTGAACCTTCTCTCTGTCGCGAATGTCGGCAATAAAATATGAATACTAAACTAAACAGTTCGCACCTTTTATTTTAACTAAAAAGTTATTGTAGCCAAAATCGAGCAGAGAACTTCATCAAAGTGGAACTCCTGTTGAATTTAATATCCATATGCTCGGATTTACTTAATTTAACTACACCCAGGTAAGAGAGTAGTGGTGAACCGAAGTTTTTGTTCATTTGGTGCATTGGGACCAAAACTTCATTTCTAAATATCAAACGTTATATTATTTAGTACAAACAAGCTTTATGATTTATAGAAGAGCTATACTTTTATAATGTGTTTAAAAAATAGAAAAATATAACAATATTAAATATGTATAGAAAAATAATACATCGCCTATCGCTTCCTTTACATGACCGATAAAATTGGTAAACTGGAAACCAGGATACAATAATCTTGTTTATCTAACACCATTTTGCTGCAATATCTTGTTCGTTTACATTCTTACCAGGCATTCGCTAAAAAAACGGAACGCCGCAATTCGAGAATTTATTCTAAATATCAATAAAATATTACGAACATTTATTTACAATAGCAAGAACTAAATTTACGATTACAGACACAACTGTTGTAGTCAATATAAATAAAATGATAGAGGTTTGCAGTTGTGCGCGCATCACGGAAAACTACTGGATACATTTCAATTAGGTTTTTTAAGTTTTATTTCTTAGACACTTGGCCCTTATCTAAAAAAAATGTTGCGACATCTTCATTTAATATAAAGTTATTAAAGTTTCAACAAACAACGACTTGTTTCAAAATTAATTGACATAAATGTTTGTGTAATCTTGTAAAACTATAAAGTAAACAAAAGTCCGTGTAAAAAAAGGAGACAGACAAATAACTTATCTGATTAGTTCGTTATGTTAATATAAATACAACGTATTATGATTATTATGTATATACAAACCTGATCATTGTTATCAGTATCGGAGTCGCTGAGCTCCCACTGTGGATGGTCAGCCGGGACCGCGGCTGCTTCTTTTACGTCCAACTTCATGTCCTGTTGCTGGTCCATGCCGATATATGAATCTACGTGAAAAGGTAATATTAGTTAGTAAATTTTTAAAATAAAAGTACCAGACTGCAGATATGTGGTCAGAATACGAGTACGCTTCAAGCATGCGTATTGTTTTGCGAGCGCCATTTTAGTATTAATTACCATAAGACGTAACCTAAAATACTCAGAATATGAAGATGAGTAAAAATAAGTTCGGAAATGTAAATCTCCTTTTTTGGAAAGTCGGGTAAAAATATAATAAACATATTATACTTAGAAACATCAATAAAGTAAATAAAAAATGGCCATTTGGTTATTAGAACATGCGATGAATGGTTCTGCTGTATCACCATACCCAATTTTTTAACTCTTTTTTTATCTACAATGAAAAAATATGATATAATATTTGTAACTTATTATTTTCAAAATTAGAAAATATACCCGTAAATCGGACACACAAATTATATTAGAGCAAAACAATGAGTTTACAGTTGAATTACAGCAAGTCCTTCCTAGAATGGGAGAGGCCCATGTCCAGCTACCTGCAATTATTACGGAGTACGGTCAGATAAAGATTTTTTTAATATAAATATATATAAGTGAAATACCACTGATTCACTCATCACGAAATCTCCAAAACTATATATGGGTATATACATATACCCTATATATATGGGTATGTCCATACGGACAGCCCGTACCGTCAACATGCACAGTACCAATATTGAAAACCCGCTAATAACATTATATCATTATAACGTTATTTTATTCGGTTAATTGGAAATTTCCCAGGTTTTAGTGTATGAAACAACATCATTGTATTAGTATTCTGTTAAAGTAATAAAAGTACGTGTGGCTCTTCCCAGGACGTGCCGTGTCATTTACGATCTCCAAGTGTTATTTAGTTGCAGCATGGCATCTTCACGTATATGGTATTTATAACGTTACCATTTGGTTAGTATAAATTATTTTTTACATTATCTGCTTCTGTTTTAACTACTCTCTCTGTTAATATTTTGCACATGACAACCTTTTGAAACAGACAAAAAATTCAGTGTTAAATCATTGCACGTTAATTAATGGGAAAATAGATAATTGAAAAGAATTGTATACGCAAGTAAATTTTAATTTAGACTAAATATAATCATTAAAGATCATTTATTTTAACTTATCTCTTTTGTTTTATTGTTTTGTTTAAATTTTTCGGATATAATTTATTTTAGATAACTCCTGGTATTACTCTCTATTTGTTCGTGAAGTTTTATTACAATCGGTTCAGCCATTCCGAAGATTAGCTCGGAAAGACAGACAAACGTAAATATTTGTATACACATGTAAAATATTTTATACAAAAATATTAACAAACAAAATCAGCAATAATTATGAAGAAAACCGGACATTTCTTTTTGTAGAATATGGCGTTTTGTTATCATTGATTTCAATGACAAGTTGGACTGAAGAACTAAACTAATATAGAACGTACGAAAAACGCATATCGCAACGTATTTTTTGCAGTCTTTACCGGCGGGTGAGTATAGATAGTGACAGTGTGCAACCAAGAGATGAATAGAGGCGACACCATTTTCAATCCCATTCCTTAACCGCACGGGTAGTATATAATATATACGAGGGTGACACTGAAAGTTCTTAGAAAATCAAAAACTGAACAAACTAGCAATTTATTAGTTTTATTCGTGTAAATGGACACTATCTTTTCAAAATAGTGTCCATTTACACGAATACATCGCTGCATCCGATGGAACCACTGAGAAAAGCACTTTGTCTACTCGTCCTTAGGGGTCTCTTCGATGGCATTTTGAAGCGCAGCCACTGCTTCCTCGGCGTCCATAAAACTTTTTCCTCGAAGTTTTTCTTTTATTTACGGAAATAAATAAAAATCGCAAGGTGCGAGGTCGAGGCTATAGGGCGGGTGACCTAGTAATTCCACGTCTTACGTCGGCAAGTATTCGATTGTTTGCTTAGAGGTGTGCGACGAGGCGTTGTCGTGGTGAAGGAGGATCCTACTGCGAGGTCGTTTCTCCCGAACTTTTTCCAAGACAAGTGGCAAACAATTGTTAACCACTCTACAGTAAGTGTTTTTTGATCCTCTAAAACAATTGTTGCGTAATGACCTGTCCTTCCGAAGAACGAGGCCACGATATTTTTTCCCACGCTTCGACCTCTCTTCACTTTAGTTGGCAACTCCGCGGAATGAAACACCCTGATAGCTGACTGTCTCTTAGATTCAGGATCATAACAATAAATCCAGCTTTTGTCAACCGTAAGTATGTCGAACACGACACCAATCAACACAACGGAGTTTTTGGGCCTCTCTCAAATTATGAGGTATCCATCGGACACAAAGCTTCCTGGCCGCTAAATGTCCATGGAGGATTTTGTGCACTTGACTCATACCGATGCTTAAGCTTGTGCGAAACTGCTGATAAGTCACTCTTTTGTCAGTCTCTATCATACGCCGCACAACACTAATGTTATCTTCAGTTGTCGCCGTAGAACGCCGTCCTTCGCGCAGATCATCGTTGAGATTAGTGCAACAGCGTTTAAACTCATTAAACCAGTTGTAAACAGTGGCACAAGATGGGACTTCATCGTGAAAGGCCAATCGAAATGTATCATAATTTTCTTGTTGACTTAAATTACATTGAAAGTCATAAAAAATCACTGTACGAAAATTTTCTCGCGTTAAATTCATGCTGACGTGACAGACAATTTTCAATTTGCCGCCAAATCGTAAACAAATGACAAATTAATAAAATACACACACAATAATATTAGCAAAGTGTTCCATTTTCAAAATTTGAACTTATTTTTTTATTATATCGTTTACAAGTCGTCAGTACTAAAAACTTTGTGTCGACCTCGTGGTCGACACTGAAAGTTTTTATTTATAGCATCGAATACGAGTAAACTCCTAAGTTTTAACTACGAACTACTTTTAACTTCTAACTACGAAGTTTTGGTTTATAGAATCGAATACGAGTAAACTCCTTTCTCGACGTAGACACCTATTAAAATTCAATCCCTAAGGGGGTGAAATGCTGTGTTACAGCTTGTCTCTAAATATCAATTGCTGTCCGTTAGTCTCGCTAAACTCTAAAATAGCTCAACGGATTTTGATGAAATTTTTTGTACCCGCTGTTGTCGAGCTCTAAGCGGCTGGACTGATTTTGATGAAATTGTTTGTGTGTCTTTAAGCGTGTCCTTGGTTAGTTTAGACTCACAATTGGACCCGGTAGGTGGCGCTGTTGTCGAGATCCAGAAATCACCCATGCGAAGCTGGGGCGGATCGCTAGTAATGTTATATAAAAAATAGTAATGCAGTGCGATTTTTAAATGTGGAAGAATTAGCTCCTGTCGATTCCAATGTTTAATTGGAATTAATTTTGATGCGAAACTTCAATGGGCTATATGAAACATAAGAAATCCCGCTACTAATGTTGAACAGGTTTTGAAATTTGTTATATATTTATAGTTTAACTAGCTGTTCCCCGCTACTTAGCTCGCGTGTTAGGGTTTTTATGTTTTTGCGCGGAACCCTAATTCTTTTTCTAAAATAAAAGTAGGTTAAGTTACTCCTTATGAAATCAGCTACCAGCTGAACAACATCATATACGGTACTAATAACAAAAACACAATTTTTAAAGTTTTTGTCTGTCTGTTTGTTCCGGCTAATCTCCGAAACGGCTGGACCAATTTTGACGGGATTTTCACTGTCAGATAGCTGATGTCACAAGGAGTAACTTAGGCTACTTTTATTTTAGAAAAAGAATTAGGATTCCGCGCAAAAAATTATACCTTATATCGCCGTTTATACCGATCTTGGACAATTTCAGTAATAGCAAATTATGTTGTATTCTGTCAAAGGCTTTACTATAATCGGTATAAACGACGTCTACCTGGTGGCGATTGTCCATTGCTTCCGTCAAGAATGCATTAAAGAGCGCAAGATTTGAAACAGTAGAGCGTCCTCTTATATATGTATACTTGTGTTTATTTTTATGAAATATGTGTTACACATGTAATTAAGTCAACACTTAGTCTTTTGATTTTTTTTTGTAAAAATATTATGCTTTTGTTAGTGTATGTCGTGTTGCTGTTAAAAACCGTAAAGCTAGATAAACATGAGATTTATATGTAACTAGCTGATCCCCGCGACTTCGCCCGCGTGTTATTTGGGGTTTTAAATTTTTGCTAAAATTTTTAATTCTTTTTCTAAAATAAAAGTAGCCTAAGTTACTCCTTGTGACATCAGCTATCTGCCAGTGAAAATCCCGTAAAAATCGGTCCAGCCGAGATTAGCCGGAACAAACAGACAGACAGACAGACGGACGGACAGACAGACAGACAGACAGACAAAAACTTTAAAAATTGTACTTTTGTTATTAGTACCGTATATACTTTCATATGCATTTAGTAAAAAGCTGTAATTTTGACATTACAAATAGACACTTCAATTTTATTTATTTTTATAGATATAGCTTATAATGCCAGTTACAAGACCTCACAGAATTTGTAATTCATTGGCAACGTTTCAATTTAAAAAATAAAATAAAATAGATGTGACAAACGAAGTCAGTTCACATGATTGTAACTGCATCTCATGGACAGGCTGGTGCAACTTCCATAGTAAAAATTATATGTACTACAGGGGTCAAATTTTAATGACGGTTACTCTTCTTTATGCTTTTCGTGATATGTCTATTAACGACATTGTCAAATGAAATAGGTTCAAATATCAAATCAAACAATTATATTTGTATATATTTTACTAATTAAGATTGCTTTTAATTTTGCTATAGGAGCCGTTGTTCATTTACAGAATAGTTAAGAAATTAAATATGCATTATAAAACTTTCCAATTAAATGGTGCAAGAAGCGGAAAAAATGATAACAAGAAAAGGCTATTCGTAACAATATTTCCCTTAGATGATGAAAGGTATGTGGTGATTTCAACTTTAATAGTAATATGATATTCAACGCGAGTATATTTTTGAACTAGCCATCTATGTAG